AAACATTGATAATGGTGTTATACATTTCTTCTGCAGTTGTTTGGTCAATACATCCAACGTTTGTAAAGATATCTCTACTAACTGAGCCAGATGTCATTTAATTGGGTGAAGATATTCATAGTCCCCCATTAAATACTTCTATTCCTTGAGTGTATAGGTTTTTAAAGTATCAATTTACTTAAGGAATAGGTGCATATTTCTTTCTCATGGAGCCCAGAAATAATGGCGTTTAAAGGAAGTTGTAGATTACTGTAAGATAATTAGAATTAAAAAAAGGGGACAACATATTGTTTTGAAGTTAAATCCATATCGTTATTACTATATGTGTTATTCAGTGTTGACAGGAAGGCTTATACAAGGTTGCTATTCCCTGTTTAATGTTATTTTTTTTGGGATGTTCACCACCATCTTCACATAGAAATAATTAGCATTAGTCCACAATTGCATATAAATGAACAATGGTTAACTTTCAGTGAGAGTACATGATTTTGAAACAGAGAGATATGTAGTGGCACAGAGGGAGAGATTAAACAGTCAGATATCAAATGACTAGGAGCAGAATAAAAACATCAATTCACAAACGTCTCTTCAGTGTGTATATTCATAAAATATTGCTACAATAACCTTTTGGTAAATATAGGTTAAAAACATTAATACATTATAAATGATTTGTAATTATTCAACTCGCATGCTAAAAGGCGCTGGTATTATTGTTCATTCAGGTCACGTCAGTTCCTGTTAAACCTTAAGGGACATTTCAAAGCCAGGCTACAATAACCAGATTTGTTCTACTGTTTTCGGATCCCAGACAACAAAGATGGGCGGCACAGAAGCTTATTTTCCTTATCAGGTGGAAGTTTGTTAAATCTTGCAGGAAATGTCATTTCAGCTTCAAAGGCCTGGGTCTGTAACTGAGCTTACAGAACTCCCTTTTCTGGGCTCTTTTTGAGCTGAATCAGTTGGAAATGTGTACAGGAACAGGTGGATCAAAAACACTGAAAAGTCATGCAGAGTTCACTCAGGTTGGATGCTTTTAACACCTACCATTATCTTGAGTCTCAGCCTGGTAGACTCAGTCAGGGCAGAGGCACACAGAGAACTGTTGGCTAAATATAAAAACAGTGATTTACAGAGGCTACAGCCAATCCGTCTTCTCTGTAGTGTACATCAGGTACCACATATTATCTCATTGCAGAAGACTTACATCAGTGGCCTGTGCAGCAGAGGAGAATAACATGTAATTTGCCAAAGACTATGCGTGGTGTTTTATCTTATAGCGAGGCGTACTAGCACAGTAAACCGTTTACCATAGATTCTGCACAATTACTTTTAGGGGTCAGCCAAAGTACCTGCGCTTGTTGAAGCAGAAAAATAGAGATCTTTAGCATATAATTGCCAGGAAGATATAGGTGAATTTCCATAGGGCGTCCTTTGTTTTGGTGTATTGGTTCAAATATATGTTTGTTGTGTAAGGAAAAACGAGAATAAATGACAAAATATACTGTATTTAAAGGGAATATTGTAGTAATTATTGGGTAAAAAGCAATAAATAGGCAAAGGGGGAGGAAAAAGATCGATGCCAAGGTAAAGGTAATGAGTCGGCTGGATTGGGGGATGGAGATGGAGTCATGTTTGCCGGGTGGGTGAGGAGGAGAGAAAGAGAACGTGAGAGACAGAACGTATTAAGAGTCATTATCTGCATATAGATCATTGAATGTCTTCCTGGCCTGCGACGACCCTCCCGCCCACCCAACATCTGATAATTACACTTCATTAGGAGTGCAGGTAGTGATTAGGGGAGAGACACGAGAGAGGAAGTAGGAGACATGTAAGTAGGGAAGCGAGACACACTTGAGTGACACTATACTGTTGTGGAAGGATAACGGGAATTTGATTATGGGAGAAAAAACGCTCTGCAATTGTGTATGTGTGTTGTGAGTGTGCATTTGCATGAATGTGGGTCAATTTATTGTAGCTCAGGGGTCTATATTTATTGCCTTGGTTTAATGTCACAGGAAGATGGACAGGTCCGCCTCGACACAGAATGTAATAAGCTTTCTGCGACACACACACACATACACACACACACACACACACACACACACACACACACACACACACACACACACACACACATATATCCTGTAGCTTGACATTCCCCCCCTTGCTTTTTCCTTGCACCCTCCATACCTATGCCCTACACATCATGTGATGAAGCAGTGCTAGCACTAAAGGAGTGCTGCAGCTCACAGTGCTGCAGTGAGATCCATCCAGGCAGAGGCCAGCTTCCCTCTGTCTGACACCCATGTAGGGATGTGTCCATATGGAAACATCCTTTACACTATGGGCTTGTCCAGGAGTGGCTGAACAGAATCGCTACTAAAGGTGTGATGTCCCAGTGGAGCCGGCAGGAACAGGGAGTGATCCTGTTTTTGTGTGTGTGGATGTGAATGTGCTGTCAGCAGAGGGAGAGTGAGAGGTGAGGACTGCAGTATTCCTCCAGCGGGAAGCATCGATTTTCCGGCCCAGCGTGGGGATGTGGGAAATGTCAGCCTCTAATTGAGTTGATAAAACAGTTTTGAGTTTCAGACATAAATATGGTTTCCCCCACAAAAGGCTACCGCACTCAACAACAGCTCCCATTTCTCTCTCCTGTGGATTTTGTAATGCATCCATATTTTACTTGTACAAAATTAATAACATTTCCTGTCAAAAACGGCTCCAAATTGGAGGTCTGTAGGAATGAAAGGTCTCCTTGTTATGTGTGTACGCCCTTATGCATGCAAAGTTTGTTGCTCGGACATCACATGCCTGCAAATCTGCACAGTGAATGACGCTGACAGGCGCACCGCCTATGAATAAAATGTTTTCTTTCATTGTGAATCAGCATACAAGCTCGTTAGAATAAACTGTTTTTCTTGTGGCAGCGAGGGCACCAATGGAGATTGTGAGAGCGAGGCAGAGGTCATATCCATTAGAGGTGTAGAGGCTTAATAAAGAAAAGGGCTGAATAAACGCCCGCTGTCCCTGCTGATTAGCAGATTGAGATGCACAGAGGGCAGAGGACTTACCTGCTGCCTTCAATGGAAACTCACTCTGATGTCAGGGGGGGAATAACTGTTTGTGGTTAAGCGTTTCTCTGGTGATTATCTCCTATCTAATGCTTAAATGTTCAAAGTAGATAGACGCACAAAATGGAAGTGAGTGCTTCTGTTTTTTCTCCTGCCAAATTAACTGGAAATGGAGATTTATTTCTTGTTTTTTGGGTTATACTTGAATAATTTAGCCATATAAGTCCATTGCAGAAACAGTTTGTCTACTGTGCTTGTTAATAGTGTTCATCAGTAAGGTGCTTAACAGTTCAAGTTATGTGGAGTGCGTGTGAACACGTGAACGTGCACGTGTGACTGTTGCATCTAAAGGGGCCCTGCTCTCATTATTAGGAATGATAATTAGACAGAGTTTCACACATTACGTCGCACACACACACACACACACACACGCAATTTCACCTCCTCACATTCATATGCAAGCGCACACACATTTGTGGATCAGCCTACTGGTAATTAACAGACATAATTAGGCAGACAACCATTTGTATAGGGAATGCACGCTCATGCAAACACACACAGACACACGCACAGACACACACACACACACACACACACACACACACACACACACACGCACAGACACACACACGCACAGACACACACACACGCACAGACACACATTACTTCTCTGATAATTAAGAGTATTAATTACAAGCATAGCTGTCCCTGTGAGGCTCTGTATCACTCACAGACTGGCACACAGCAGGGTTCTTATTACTTTATCTCAGCACATCATCACTACTTCACTCCCCCTCGTCCCCCTCTCTCTGGTAACACATACACACACATGTACTGCCTAATACACACCTGCTGGAGAAACAAATTGGAGCTAATTAGTTAGAGACTGATAGCTGACCATAGGTTAACCTCCGCCTGAGAATCGAGAGAGATCTGCTGGCTGCAGATAGAACAGGCCAATGCGCCTGGGGGGCCGTGCCACAGTCTTTGATTTTTTTTGTCAAATGTTCTTTCAGCTTCTGTGCCCTCAGTCTATGTTTTTGTTTTCCTTCTCTGCACTTGTTATACTGCAGCAGCTGAAGTATACATTTCACAAATGAGGCGGAGAGATGCAGTTTCTTGCTGTATTGCTTTTATCTGTAAAATGAGCTTTCACCTATGCTTACTAACCTAGATGGACATGTAGGCCAGACTCTCAGTCCAGTCAGGGCGGAGTATCTTTAGTGAGTGGATTACAGATGAGCTACCCTGTTAGCTCAGGACAAAAACCATGAGACGAAGAGCCTGAGGAAAATATCTGTCCGTAAAGCCGTTAGACAAGGAACACACCGCGCTTCTAGAGCTTGGGGCGTATTCCCAGTTAACAAACTCTCCTTTGCACTCTTTGACATTGGAGCTGTGGTGCAGCCTGAGCACTTGGAGGAGCCTGACATCATTTATGGAGATATTTTACAGGTCCTCCCTAGATTCCACTGTGGTTGCAAGTGTGGAAATTGCAGGATTGTGTCTGAGTTGTCTCTGCAAAGGCTTATGTGGCACACATGCCCTAAATGTGTGAGCAGCTGGTAGAGGAATCATTGAGCAGAAAAACTGCAAACCAAAAAAAAACACAAAAGGTGATAACATCTATGGAATTCACACCGTTAAACATGTATAATATAATGATACTGCACTTAGTGTATCATTACTAATACTGTACATCTATTAAAGTGGGATAAGAAGAGGATTATTCGGTGTGTTATATGATCCTCTTCCCACTCATATGTTCTTGTGATGTGGATATACATTATATCTCCATAACAATTTGCTGTAAATACAATATTTATATGCGTTGTAATCACACTGCAATAATGATTTCTTAATTATTATTTGACACCCACCTCAGTAATGTGTTGTTTAATGTATCTCGTTCTCTCTGTTTATCCACAGTGGACGGCTGCACTGATTGGTCGGTGGACTACCTGAAGTACCGGGTGCTGCAGGGGGAGCCGGTGCGGCTGAAGTGCGCTCTCTTCTATGGATACATCCGGGCCAACTACAGCCAGGCGCAGAGTGTGGGGCCTCAGCCTCATGTGGTACCGTAGCTCTGGCCTCGGCCACAGCGACTTCGAGGAGCCCATCTCTTTCGACGGCGTGCGCATGAGCAAGGAGGAGGATGCCATCTGGTTCAGACCTGCAGACCTCCAGGACGTGGGCCTCTACTCCTGCGTGCTACGGTAGGAAGGGGGATGGGGATGGGGATGGGGATGGGGATGGGGATGATGCATTTAAATGTCCTGGGTAACATGTCTGATTTTATTTTGCTGTAGTTTAAAAAAAATGATGTTCTCTCTTGACCACATTCAGCTAACCACTTGGCCTCTTGTATTGCTACTTGCAACGACTTCAAGCTCAACATGCAATACGTACAGACAGAGATTAATTTCAAATAAGTTAGATAGATCTACATTTTGTAAGAAAATTGTTGTATTTAGTTTTCTTGTTGAGATAAGAAGTTGTACATCCTTGTATCAAACTTGAACCTGTAGCCTAGCTTTCTCCTAGAAATTATAAAACCTACTAACTAACCTTTAGTTTAACTGTTTAATCCAAATACAAACTGAAATGTCTAAAGACGTTGTGGGACTTATTGCCGAGTGATGCGCTGTAGCAGTTTATCTCTCCTTTCAATCCTTATGCTAAACTAAGCTATCAGCTCTTACCTTGGACTGTACCTGATCCACCAACCCAGTCTCACGGCATTTTGTGTTATATTAATCTATTGAATCGTGTTCAGCTACACGATTTTCCCCTTTTTTTTCGTGTCACACAGCACGATTTTAAAAGCAATGTATTTCTATTGGTAGTATGTTTCGTGCCTGCAACACGTCTTTTGGTCCAGTCGGGTCTTGGAAGACCGGAAGCTGTGGGCTTCATAAAAACATGTTCTTACTCAATATCAAGCCACGATTATTGTTTTTATTTTAAATTGTATAATGTCGGACTTTTGTTGTCGTCTGTGAGGAAAATAAATGGGGCTCAGAGCCTCAGAATACTGAAATCTGTATATTTTTTTCCTTCTAATTTGTTATTCTTTTCTAAATAACACACTGTTATTTACTCACCAATAACACACAATTATCCTTGTTTTTATTTATTTGTCTTCTAAGACCCAACCGGACCAAAAGACGTGTTGCAGGCACGAAACACACTACCAATAGAAATACATTGCTTTTAAAATCGTTCTGTGTGGCACGGAAAAAAGGAGAACATCGTGTAGCTGAACACGATTCAATAGATTGAATGTCGTGACTATATAATATATATATATATAATTTCCCCTCTGTGGGACTAATAAAGGTATTCTGATTCTGATAACACGAAATGCCGTGAGACTGGGTTGGATCCACAGACACAAGACTACTCCTGGTATTTTTGCCTTACTCTCATTATGAAAGCAACTAAGCATCATCTCACAAAATGTTGAACTATACCATTTAATGAATTAAAATATGTCTGTATTGTCACATATAACCTTATATGTCTGTGTTATTTACAGTACATGATAATCATTATTGAGTGATTACTCTTATTTGTTCCTAAAAAGTATAACTGCTGTATTGACTTAAACAAAATGAAATTGCTTGATGGTGATATGGGTGAATTATTGGCCATGTGGAGTTGCGAGGGCAGATATAGAGACAAAGAGATTATACAAACAAACACCCACACACACACACACACACACACACACACACACACACACACACACACACACACACACACACACACACACACACACACACACACACACACACACACACACTCACTCTAGGAGGTCCATTACAGAGAAACTCTTCTTAATACAAGATGCATAATTATGTGGCAGTAACTTATTAACCTTTGCAGTGGAGAACATCCCTTAATGAACGGCTCATTGCAGCTATTCATTTCAAGAGTTTTTATTAAACCCAGTTAAAGGCCTCTTAAAGAGAGGCTTGCAGGATACATTAAGTGTGACTGGGCGAGTGTGTGTTGTGTGCAATGATACACCAGACTATACAGCAATTCATTACTGCATTCTGCAGGACTAATCTGCCACAAACAGTGTTTTCTCACTATAGATTAATGTTGTCTTTGATTATTGACAATTTCCTCCAACAGCGATTGGTTCGAGAGCATGCTTAAACACTGTTGAGCGCTACACTTGTTAAAAGAGCCTCGGAGAAACAAGTTTAGCTTTAGGGGGATTTCAAACTTCTCAGATACCTTAATCAGAACACTGCCAGAGATTTGCTTCCGAGCTGAAATCAATTGTCTTTTTGTTAGGGAGCAAAGCTTTTGAGTTGCACGTTTTAGCATACATGACCTAAACTCCCTCCCCTGGAACTCCCTGCAGGCAAAGAGAGGAAAGATATGACTTAATCGCTTCTCCAGAGTTCACACAGTACACGCCGTAGACCTTCATCTACCCAAACCTCAGACATCTACATAAGGACTTTTATTATAACCCCCAATCGGAGATACAGTAAATAGTACACTTTGTAAAGGTAGGCTTTATTGCAGGACTTATTGATTTTCTATTCGATTTACCTACAGTAATGTGCACTTAATAAAAGGGCAGCTCTGTTTGTCTAATCCAAAATCCTTAATGAGTTTGGCGGTTGTAAAAATCTCATCAATATTACATGCAATTAAAAGCACATTACATGCGGCTGCTGTCAGTCAGATTGAGCGTGCATATTATGTCTCATATTTCACAAATGTTATTCTGATGTAAATTAGTCCTGAGACCAAACCCCAGTTGATTTAATGGCCTCCGCTTATGTGTGCGTTTTTGATGGTTTTCTCTTAATATATTGTTGCGAAAATTGAAATACGGTATTTTCTGAGTCAATTACATTAAAGAATGACAAAAAACAGTAAGGTATATTCATAATCACATTTAATGCAACACATCTTACCACAAAGACTCACAGTAAAAAAAAAAATACATGGTCTAATAATTTCATCTAGACAGGATCATGTCTAAAACATGCAACTTAACAACTAAATGAGGCACCTCACCCTCTTTTCTTTGACTTTAATTAGAAAACAACTTTCCCTCGTTTACAAAAGTGTTCCATCTTTTTTAAAACATTAGAAATCTATGGTTTTGTCAAAGTATCCGATTTCCTAAAGCAGGGGTCGGAAACCCGCGGCTCTTTAAGCCCTCTACTCTGGCTCCCTTGAGCTTAGACAAAAATAAGAAGGAAATAAAATATTTGTAGGACTATTTAAATGTTGTTGCATGGTTGAAAATGTTTCGTATCTTGTATTTTGAGGTGATACTGTGACACATACAAACATTTAAAAAACGGTTTTAACTAAAATATGCGTCATATCCTGCTGCGGTCCCGCACCAGCACCTTTTCTTGCAGGCGAATAACCTGACCCCTGTCAGGGTTTGAGTTTTGTTGTGTCTCGTTGTGGGGTTATTTTAATAATAATAATAATAATAATAATAGCTTGGATTTATATAGCGCCTCTCAAGGGATCCAAGGTCGCTTTACAAGTAATAGGGCAAAAACAAACATAACAAAACAAAAGTCAGACAGACAAAACAACAGATCGAAAGCCTTGGCAAACAGATGGGACTTGAGGGCCCTTTTGAAGGCGTCGAGTGTGGGGATGTTGCGAATCTCCGCAGGGAGAGCGTTCCAGAAGGTGGGGGCTGCCACACTGAAGGCTCTGTCCCCGAAGGTTCGCAGTTTGGTGCGGGGGGTGGTAAGCAGGCCAGAGTCTGAGGACCGCAGGTTCCGGGGTGGGGCATGTGGGTGAAGGATGTCCGATAGGTACTGGGGGACAAGGGCATGGAGGGACTTGTACCTGTAGGTAAGGAGGAGGACTTTGTAGGATATGCGGGACTTGACCGGCAACCAGTGTAGGTGGATGAGAGTGGGAGTGATGTGCTGCCACGGCTTTGTGTGTGTGAGTACCCTAGCAGCACAGTTTTGGACATACTGGAGCCTGTCCAGGGTTTTGTTGGGAACCCCGAACAGGACACCATTGCAGTAGTCTAAGCGGGTGGTGACAAACGCATGCACTAGGGTTTCAGCAACTGACTCCGAGAGTAACGGTCGGAGTCTGGCAATGTTCCTTAGATGGTAAAAGGCCGATTTGGTCACAGATTTGACGTGGGAATGGAAGGAAAGGGTGGAGTCGAGGATGACACCCAGGTTGCGGGCTTCAGGAGATGGGGAGATGGAGCAGCCGTCGACCTCGAGGACCTTCTGGAGCAGGGCCTATCAGCTTAAGATAGTTGGAAGACATCCATGTTTTGATGTCATGCAGGCAGTTGATGAGAGACTGAGGGGGGAGCTGGGAGGATGGAGTGGTGCTGAGATACAGTTGGGTATCATCAGCGTAGCAGTGGAAATTGAGTCCATGATGTCGGATGATCTGGCCGAGGGGGAGCATGTAAATGGTGAACAGGAGGGGGCCAAGCACAGAGCCCTGGGGTACACCGTGGTGGACTGGGGACGGGGGTGAGTTTGAGCCACTGATGGAGACAAACTGTTTCCTGTTGTGGAGGTAGGATGTCAACCAGGACAGCGCTGTGCCAGTGACACCTAGGAGGTCTGAGAGGCGGGTGAGGAGGATGTTGTGAGAGATGGTGTCAAACGCTGCAGAGAGGTCCAGGAGGATGAGGATGCTGAGGTGGCCAGAGTCAGCAGCAATGAGGAGATCGTTTGGTGATCTTGATGAGGGCGGTCTAAGTGCTGTGTTGCTGTCTGAAGCCGGATTGGAAGGGCTCATAGAGCTCATGGTTGGACATGTACAGATGGAGTTGGCCGGCGACCACTCTTTCCAGAGTTTTGCTGAGGAAGGGAAGGTTGGAGATTGGCCGGTGGTTCTGGAGGTCGTCGGGGTCCAGGCCAGGTTTTTTGAGTATGGGGGGTGACTTTGCTTTTCTGTTCTCCCTATCATGTTTTCCTCCTTGTTTCTTGTCTGGTCCTTCTCCCTGTGTTTTCCTCCCTGTCGTTAGTTTCCCTGGTGTGTCTAATTGTCTGATTGTGTTCACCTGTTGCCCTTGTGTTTCTCCTCCCTGCCCGGCTGTTTCTCGTCTCGTGAATACCCCTCCCTGTATTTAGTCTTGTCTCTTCCTGTGTTCGGTGTCGGTTCATTGTCCTCCCTTCACGTCACGTCTCGTGTTTTTCGCGCCGGTCTTCCTCCATGTTTTTTACGGTCAGTTTTTATGTTATTGTTTTCCTGAGCTACCGTTTGATTCATGCCATGTTTTTGTGATGAGCTTTGCAATAAAGCTCGCTTTTTGTTTTCTAGACCAACTTACCTTTTTTTGTATTCTGCTTTTGGGTCCTACCTTTCCCATACCGTAACAACCCCCGGCTCCATGAGCGAACTATGCATAAATCAAAGAAAAGAAAAGTATCAGAGGAACACAGAGGGTTTAATTCTGCGTGGACAGAGTTATCTGCTTTCACAGCAAACGATGCTGGCTTACCGGTATGTTTGATATGTGGAGAGAAGTTGTCAAAGGTGCTGCAGCCTTTACATATTGGAGGAAAAACACGGAAGAGGAAGACAGCTGACGATCTTCAGTCATAATTCAATCAGTTAACTCTTTTTAGGGTGCAGCTATATGTTTTATTTATTTCAAAGTGGGTCAATTTTAATTATATTCATTTTCTTCAAATGTGCAGAGGACTCCCCAAGTGCTGTGTTGATTTATTTTAAAGTGCCTGTGTATGTTTTTTTATTCTCCTTATAAGAGTTATTTGTTTATTATTAGAGGTAAACAGTTTTCTATAATGTAATAAATGCAAAAAAACTGTAGTTTTTGACTATGATGTAACAATATATACAACTTTATAAGCTATCAAATATGTTTTGCAGCTCCAGACAAAGACAATTGGTGGAAAAGGGGGGAAAATGGCTCTTTTGATCAAAAAGGTTGCAGACCCCTGTCCTAAAGGAACCAATGTTAACTGCTTTGGAAATGTGACTTTATCCGAGGGCTATTTAATGCATTTTGACCTCCATGACTGTTGCTGGTCAGATTTGAAATACTTATGACGTTAGTCAGTATTAGTGAGATGCATGTGTACCAGAAATATAGTGATGCCAATGAGCTACTTAGCAGCAATGATAACCTCATATGCTACAATGATTTTATTGTATCACAATACAATCTGATCTTGATATAAGCACCGTCAAATGAAAGCTGATAGTCAGCACTTTAAAGCCATAGTCATTGTTTCATTTCTAATCCTGTGTGCTGGAGTAGAAAAGCCAACACAACAAAAGATGTGTCTCTGCCTTAATACCTCCCGACTGCACTGCATGTATCGCAGGATATTTTCCAATAGCTCGGGGCGTGTTGTGTACTGTCTATAAATGTAGGTAAATCCCCCTGTGCTAAGTTCGGCCTTTCACTGAAGGCCTCCAGATGTTTTACTCAGACAGAGATATAGAGGCAAATTGGAATGCTTGTCTTTTTTCAATGTTGCGTGAATGTGTGTGTGTGGGTAGTTATCTTCGTCCTTCTCTGTCTGGAAATATAAGTCTAATCGCCAGTTTTCATGTGAAGGTGACTTCATTTACATAGCAATCGCTTCTTGCTGTCTTCTGCGCTCCCTCCCTTTCACCCCTTTGTTCTTTCTCTGCCTCCCATTCCTCCGCATGTCATCTCACATAAGGCCTGTAACATCGATTCAAATCCATCAATCTGTCTCCCTCGTTCTGCCTCTCGCTTAACCACGGTCCCTCTCTGTTTCACCTGACTCATTTTATAATAGTTCTTGTAATGAGTCTGTGTTCTGGAGTAGGTGCAACCACGAGTATTTCCTTCCCGTGATCACATTATCCAACGTGGGGGGGTGGATAATAACGTGTGGGGAATTAGCTAACGTGAGCCGCAGACTAATATCCAAAGCAGATACACTCAAATAGAAAGTGACAGACGTGAAAGACACCACAGGACTGTGCATCGACCCCCGGCTGTCCATCAATCAAGCACCTCCACTGACACCTTCCCACAATGCCACAGGGCGCTGTGAATATTTAACATGTAGGGATGTCTCCTGTTGGATCCCTGGGGACTTTAATGGCTCAGGTGCACAACTATGAGAGGTCATTTCTGATCATCTGCCTGTTATATCAACAAACGGCGGGGGTTTACTTGTACTGTACTTGTGTGAATCTGCCTGCACATGCATGTGTGTGGCCACGTGTGTTAGGGTGTGTGTGTCTGCATGTCAGAATTTGTTCTGTAGACAGATATATTATCTAAGTGTACTCTGTAAGCCTACAGCACCGCATCTTCCCACTCTTTTCCCTCTAGATAGGACGTAGCAAGTCGATAATGTTACATATCAGCACCAAGAGGCCATTTCTCTGTTTCAATATCTTGCATCTTACTTTTGCTTCCTACAGCGTTTTCCAGATGCCCTCTTAGTCATCTCCTATGTTGTTGTAGAAGTACAGTATATTTTCTTTCTCATTCCAAGTAGATATTCTCCCTTTCTCGATTCTCTATCTCTACTTAGTCTGCCATGACGGCACATAGCTACATATGTCTTGAAACCATGTGTGTGTGTGTGTGTGTGTGTGTGTGTGTGTGTGTGTGTGTGTGTGTGTGTGTGTGTGTGTGTGTGTGTGTGTGTGTGTGTGTGTGTGTGTGTGTGTGTGTGTGTGTGTGTGTGTGTGTGTGTGTGTGTGTGTGTGTGTGTGTGTGTGTGTGTGTGTGTGTGTGTGTGTGTGTGTGTGTGTTTTATGGTCCCAGTGGGTCAGAGGTGTTTATACGAGAGAGGTGACTCCCTTATTGCTTCCATAACCTGAGTAGATCATATGAAACCCTGTCATTTACAGTGAATGGGAGTATCTGGCGAGCCATAAATGTAATGTAATTAAATGAAAGCCCGTATGGCTGTACGGCAGTGACTGACCGACCAGATCACAGCCAGGCTGCATGGAGGGAACACAAACCTTATTAAAGGATGTGGACTTGAGTCTGGATTGGGTCTGGGTCTGTCTTATTGGGACCAGGTTGCCTTCTTTAAAGGAAATCCCTGATGTTACAACTATTTTAGATTTCAGTGCAGCAGATCTGGACTGGACTCTGTGGTGCTGTTATCACTATTAGCTGCTTACCACCCGCTCAGCTGTTGGCACGTTGAGAGCCGTATGGAGGCAATCCTTTGGTTTGAAATAAGAAATTGAGAAACATTTGAAATACCAAAAACGTTTAAAAAACTTTATGTAGATGTTAATTATTTGATGAAATAGTTTATTTATATTTATTAAAAAAAAGCCTCTGCAAATCAATTGGGTGGACATGCAAATTTAAATAGGAAATTAAATCACCAAATGACTAAAAATCGAAATAGTTATAAGAAATATCAATTTGTGCAACTCTTTGTAAATGAATGGTTGCCTATCAATTTTTTTAATAACTTTTTGCATATTAAATGACATTTTTAATCTATTTAGCGAGATGTTTCTTATATATTTCATTTTTGGCAGCTTCTGTCCTCCATACCCTGGCCTACTTTCTCCTTTTCTGTTTTTAAAACTCTGATACATGCTTTTATTACCTCCAGACTACACTCCAGCAATAGCATTCTTCATGGTGCATTGTCCAATATTCTTAATAAACTCCCGTACATCCACAACATTGCTCCTCGCCAGCTCATTCACTCCCACTCCTGTGACCACATTACTGTCCTTAAGCACCTCCACTGGCTTCCTGTCCCAAAACTGATTGTATTCAAACTCATTCTCTTTACTCACAAAGCCCTTCGTAACCACACACCTTCTCCACAGCCACACTCATTTCCACAGCCTCCATTTCTCTACACCCGACACTGGATCTGGGCTTTCTTTATCAAAGCCCCTCTTTCTCTGGAACTATTTTCTAAAACGCATACATCACTGCATCAATCATGCTATGTTCAAGAAGTCAGTCAAAACTCACTTTTTAAAAACTGGTTTTAATGTATACCTTTCTGTGCCACACAGTGCTTTTGCTTTATTTTAGCCATCTAGCTTATTCTATTAAACATGTCAAGTAAATTGTTTTTGTGCATCTATAAAAGCGCTCTATGAATAAACATGTGGCCAACCTCGCTAATTCTCTGGTGGCTGAAAGGGAGCAAATCCCTGCAGTAATGATGATTATGATGATAATAACAGTATGGTGAATGAGAGAGGTATCCTTCACCTCTGCCAGTGTGTGTGTGTGTGTGTGTGTGTGTGTGTGTGTGTGTGTGTGTGTGTGTGTGTGTGTGTGTGTGTGTGTGTGTGTGTGTGTGTGTGTGTGTGTGTGTGTGTGTGTGTGTGTGTGTGGCTAGGAGATGAAGGGGGGGGGGGGGATGTGCAGCAGGGACTAAGTCCTTGTGATGACCAAGCAGCTTTCTCCTTCCTTCATGTCGTGAGGCCCTCTCAGCGTTTGTCTCTCCTTTGATTAGCATTCCCAGGCCATGGCTGATTCCCCCCATAAATCCAATAGTGGTCCTGAGTGTGACTCATTGACTCGGTAAAGCTGCTGAACACGTCGTTATTGCTAACCCCACAAACAGAGGGGAGGAGGAGGGAGCCAGAGGAGGAATGGAGAAGGATAAAAATAACTTAAAGGGTATCCGAGGGAGTTAACATCAAATTCCACCCGTGTAAGAGTTGTAGTACTATCAAGGCTCATCTTATTTTCCTTAATGTATCATCAGCAGTATGACATTAAAGAGGTCTTACTAATACTTGTGTTTCTGCCCGCAGGAACGCTACATACTGCATGAAGGTGTCCATGTCTCTGACTGTGGCGGAGAATGACACGAACATGTGCTACAATTCAAACATGAGGCGAAATGAGAAAGCAGAGCTCAGCAAGAGTAAAGACATCCTCTGTCCTGACATAGATGACTATGTTGAAGCTGGAAAAGATCCGGACATCACCTGGTCTAAGGTGGGTGTGATCCTGTCATGATATCATTGTTATGCTTGCCTAATTTACGTTTTTTTTGTGTGTGTCTTAAATACTGTTATTTGTTATATTCTAGGCAATTGAATAAGGAAGGCATGTGTCTTTGTGATTACACAACCAAGAAATCTTCTTAAATGCTTCAGTGGTTTGTTTTCATCTAACGTCTTGGCTGTTTTTGTTTCAAATGCTTGGTTAATAATGTGGTTCCAGATCACTTAGGCAGATTATGTATGGATGCAAATGGTCCAGATGAATTACATAAGAGCGTCATCTGAAGAGAGCAAGGACTCGGCAGAGGGCAGCCACACAGAGATGGCTTTCATAATGAACACCAAACTTATACGAGGAGGGAAATTGTGCGATGACACTCCATGCCCTGCGGAATAAGTGGACGCCCTCCAAATGTTCCCAGTCTGTGATCTTTATTCATCGTGCACCTCCCCTCGTCTCACCTGGGTCCTTGCCTTTCCCAGGTCATGCACGGCCCGCGGACAACAGAGTGCATCCCAGTGCAGGGCTCAGGCCAGACTAATCACAGGCAGATCAGCAGTAGATTAGCTCGCCGGGCTCGACCTCTAGGTTTTTCCAGAATTCAATTACATTCTGGGTAATGACTGGGAGTGTTGGAACCTGGAGTTATTTGGACCACTGCAGAGACACAGTGATTGAATTCGAAGGTTGCCGGGAGCAATGGCAGAATAAAATCCGCAGAGCCATCGCTGTCCCTGCCACAGCATCGACAGGCTGAGCCTCGTGTCATGGAGACGCTTATTGTGCCTGCACACAGACACACACACACACACACACACACACACACACACACACACACACACACACACACACACACACACACACACACACACACACACACACACACACACATATACCATGTATGCATCACTTCAGGGGACATTACATTGACTTACATGCATTTCCTGGAGACTTATCCTAACCTTAACCATAACCAAACCAACACATGCCTAACCCTAAACCTTACCCTAACCCTAATCCTAAACCTAACCAAGTCTTCACCCTAAAATTAATGATTCCCCTCATGGGGACCTCCAATTTGTCCCCATAAGGGAAGCCAGTCCCCACACGTGACTATGTAAACATATTTAGGTCCCCACAAGTATAGTAATGCTAGACCACACACACACACACACACACACACACACACACACACACACACACACACACACATATATTCACGCATGCTCACAGACGCAGCACAAACACACTTATTTTGCCAGCAGAGACTAGTGTAAATAACATTCTCTGTCCTCTGTGGCTATACTGCAGTATTGAATGGAGGATATTTAGTTCAGAGCAATACATCTTGATCAGATAAAAAGGGATAATGGCGAAGCTTTATTACTTTACCGTATAGAGTTTTTATGCAATCCCACTTCATGTACTTTCCTAACGCTCAGTAACGTTAGAAAGCTTCTGTGTTCAGCTCTTGAGGTCTCATGGTGAGTTGTTCTTAAATTACATAATTGGCCATATTATATAATCCCTGACCATATGCACTACACAGTACCTTTCCCTCTGTCTTCTGCAGGTTATTTTGTATTCCACAGTGAGTAATCAATAAGCTCTGGGTAGAAGTTTAAAGTTTGACCTTTCTGTCCTCCTCTAATGAACAGGAGTGCCGTCCCAAGCAGTGGCGTGCCAGTATCATCCAGAAGAGAGACATCCTGTCTATCCAGGACGTAAAGGAAGATGACATTGGGAATTACACCTGTGAAGTCCAGTTTGGTGGCTTCGTGGTCAGAAGGACGACCGAGCTCACAGTCACTGGTAAGTCTCTAGGAGAAGAAAATAACAACAACATAAAGAAAACAAAAAAGGGTGTTTTTGCATCTGTGAAATAACTAGGGGTGTTTATTCTACAAACTCCTGTTAATGCTGGGGGAATCGATAGTGTAGCAGTTCTAACAGTCACTTCAAGAAAAGGAATGGATAGTAACGAGTACACACACACACACACACACACACACACACACACACACACACCATTGAGCACTGCAGCGAAGTCCTGCTGCTGTGTTAATTGCTGGGGGATGTTGAATGCTGGGGTCTGGCCACTATGCCTTCTTCTAACTCAGCACTTTCCAGTCAACCAAGCAGCGTTGAAATATTTAAGGCTAAACCCCTTCACACGAGAGCTAAAGAGCCAGGACCAAGGTCAGGAGATGTACAACTCTGCTCTCTGTGGCTATCCACCTCTATCCCTCTCTCTCTCTCTCTCTCGTTCTCTCTCTCTCTCTCAACAAATGAATGCATTCATTCGTTCTCTCCCAGCTTGAATGTACTGCGGGGGGGGAGACGTGGGGATAGGGTGCTCGGAGCACTGCCAGGTCAATCGCTCTGATTAGGGTTGATGCAAAGGTCAAATCCTGTATTCATTTTGTTCTCCTCTCCTTTCTCTTTCTCTTAAACCAGTCTAGCTAGCTAGTCTCACCCATTGTATGTCGGTGCTGCGTACATGCCACATATTATTCGGTGCCCAGAAGCATCACAGTGTGCAAATTAAACGCCTAAAATTGTGTTTGTGCGCATGGATGCCAAAGCAAATTGAATGAGCTTTGCTTGGCCTCCAATTTGTAGTAATTATATGGCAATCATGAGGGATTGTTAGAAAAGACTGCATTTCCAGGAAAAACTCACACGTGCTTCCATTGCACCGTTTATCGATGTTTACTGCAGATGTGAGTAATTAAGATTGAAGGTTGTAAACTCAAAAAGCCCGTACTACAGGCTCATTGCATCATGTTTGGTGTGTGTGAGTTTTATATCAAACAAAGACAATAGGAACAAAATGTGGCCCATGCTGCTACACTGTTTGTTGGTTTTAACTAGGTCATGTAATAAAGCTCTGAAGATGTTCAATGTTAGTCCACACAGAAGTAGTGTAAGCATTTGATGAGTATCTTGTGTGGTGTTTATTTGTGTGGCTGGTCATTGCTCCTGCGTGAAATGAAGGTGATAGCAGTGTGAGATACACAGGCTATTTGCTATCTAGCAAACAGGAAGATACTTACCTGAACATCAGCAAAGTGTGCAGCAGGGGAGATGTGATCCTGGAGGTGTGGCTTCCAGATTGGCTGCTCTCGTGATTGATGGGCCAGCATTTTATCCCCTGTGGGGCTCAATAAATATGAGGCAGATATGAGGAGGAAGATACACTAGATTTCATTTTATCACCATTACCATCACAGAGGGGTATGCCAAGCGCCCAGTGTGGCCATGAAAGTACTTACATCCAGAGAGGACTTGCATGTGAAACTATATTCAGAAGTAGTGGCCACCTGAAGTAGTTTCTTAACCAGGTTAGTTCCTTTAAAATTACAATATTCCCTATTTAGAAAAAAACAACTTATTTCCTATCTCTATTCAAGTAGTTTTTTTGTTTTATTTTCTCATGCTTTGAGATATAGGCTACCGAGAGCTCTGGGATATTCATATGTTTTTGTGAAAACATGTTGAATGTATGCATGTCGAACGAGTTGGCTGTGTGCTGTATACTTTGGCTTCATCCACGTGTGTGTGTGTGTTACCCTGTCGGCGTGACCTCGATGTTCTTATAATGACTGCGGTCATAAACACTTTATTGGGTTATAAATAAACACAGATCACATTAATGATACAGAGAGGAGGAAGGAGAGAGGGGAAACTGCAGGATAAAGATACATAGAGAGGCGGTAAGAAAGAAACACTGGTGAGGTGAAAGACATGTTATTTTTAAATATGAGTCCTGCCTGTCGCCTGTATGCAATGTGAGGTATGAATATCTAATAACCTTGGCTGAACAATATAAAATAAATAACTGGCAGCAGCAAGGTTTCGTGTTAAATCAGACTTGTGAGTCAGAGAGAGTTAAAAGTAAAGAGAATAAGAAAGAGTCATTTTTTGTTCTCGTTTCTTATTAAATCCACTAGTTTCTGGTATGTGTTTGTAAAATGCTTGCATGGCCACATATGCAGTATAATGTATGTCATAGAAACACCCGCATCATCTGGGGTATATTTGCGCATGTTTCCTTGATGAAATGTCAATAACGTGTCAAAATGGAGAAAATAATGGAGTTTCGACACAGGAGGTGCAACGCTCTACAGCTTTAATGCAGCAGGTTGATTCGGGGATCCCATAAGTGTTTCCTTCAGGTTCAGGTTATTTATGTATACCCGTAGGTAGATTCTGTTTGCAGAGAAAAAGACAAGGGTTCCACCCTGACACTAAAAACAAACACAAACACATCTCTAATAAAAGGACTAGTTAAAGTACCCTGCTCAACCAAATCTCAAAATATTTTTAAAACATTTTAAGAAGGAAAACACTAGCACAAACATGGACATTCAAAATTCACAATTAAATAAATAAATAAAAATAGGCATCTGTGTGACGCTCCTACAGTATGATGTGTTAATTTGTGCAATAGCTGCTGGGATAAAACTGTTTTTATACCGCTTCGTTCTACTCCTTGGGACAAGGAGTGCAGAGGGTGGGAGTCATCATCCTTTCCTGCAATACAACAATTAACATGAAACACATTTTTAAAATGAAGACAATGCTCAAGTGTGACTGACCCAGGGTCTTATATTTATTAGATAACATGCTACTAGCAGAAAATCCCAATGGCTACTTAGAGAAATTGCATCACAATAGGTGCCTGTATTAGTCCCCAATTCTCTGTTTTATCAACAATGCTGCTTCTGCTGTAAAAATACGGCAGGCTCTACATTAATAAAGCATTTTTCCTTATTACAATACCAGTGGGGTTCCTCCTCTTTAAGGCTGTAGTTGCCTTGAATTAGATTAGCTCCCTCTGACCATAGGCTCATTTCCTTTAATAAACCCACACCATCATCCCCTCAAGTGGGCGTGAGATTATCCACATTTTATCTCATCCTGTTAAAACCACCATTGCCTGGACGGCGAGCATAAAAGGCCAAACTATCCCCGAGCGCTAATGTTGTGGTTTATATGATCGGCCACGAGGATGAAGGAGGTCATTAAGTTTAACTGATCTTAGAAATAACGCAATAGACACTGGCCTCTGCTTTGACCCTGCCTGGCTGCAAATTGTGTGTGCGTGTGTCTGTCTACTGTTCTGACCCTGCTGCGCTATCTGAACTGAGGTCAGTCTTGTAATAGAGGTTAACTATGGGCATAAACATAGGCTCGCCCAGATCAGGCTGATCTAGGAGCCTCTTAATCAACCCCCGATGCTCCTCAGGTTAATAGAAATGTAAAAGAAACAGCGACCCCTTGTCTCATTTATGTTCCCTCCACTTTATGTCAGGGTTCGTTTAAATGTTACAATCTCATTCTGAGTGTCCGGAACAGCCTGTGCAGCCATCAGAGTGTGTATTGAGAATAAGAAACACCATTATCAACAGATGGAAAGGATTTTGTTTTCTCTCTGCCCTCCATAGACCTTCACATCAACCTCCCAACTGCGAAGAGAGTGCATTTCTGTGTACTTTTATAATTGATTCATAGCTGAGGCAGGTTCACTATTCCCCGGTTCCTCTGAGGAATACAGAGCGTGGTCAGATAAGTCTGCTCCTGTGTTTACCCCCTTTCTATTCTCAGAGACACGAGAAGCAACGCCTCGACTGAAACAACCCGGTTATGATTAATTGATACATGTGTACAATATGGGCCGTGGATTCCTGTTATTGTGTTTGTCTTCTTAAGGTTATATATGCTTATCTACAAGTGTCTGGTGCAATATGTCTGTTGTTTTTTTATAATACATCTGAATCAATTCTATTCAATGTTTATAGTCTCCCAGGCCTCATTCCAGCTCTGTGGTGGTAAAGCTACAATGGTATAACACCAGATAAAAGCCCTGTGCAGCTGATATATGCAGCTCCCTCTGCGTTCTGTATAAGGCAAAATACTATACAGAGGAAGCGGGAAAGGGGGTGAAGTGATAATGGAGAGGGAGAGGAGATAGCCAGAATGAAAAGATGAGAGAGGGCTCTGCTCCTGTATCTTATCTGTATTACTTGCCAGTGTTTCCCAGCAGAAACAGTGTGTCCAGGACTATAAACAGACTATTATCCTAGTGTTTATCACAGTGCACATTACCGTTTGCCTCCGTCTGACTTACTGTAATGGAGTCGTTTGGTTTGATGGATGCCTTGGGCGTGGGTCTCTATCTATTGCTCCCATTATACCTCTGTCTGCATCGCCTCTCTGTATAAATGTCTGTATGCGCATTCAGCATAGCCCGCGAGCATGGTGATTGAGGTTATGACCAATGTAAATGTACCGTTTGGCACAGTGAATTGGAGGTTCAGAGGGCAAGAGGGAATAGAGGGGAGGAGAGGAATCATCTGCTTTACGTTGCATCTTGCAGTATATCCACAGTCAGAGGAAATATGCTATTGGAACACGCTTAGTGTACAACGAGTAAAGATGTACAGATTGTGTGGAGAAAAAATAATCTGGTGGGGGTTTTTTTTCTGTGGTGTACCAGCTCACTCGAGCTGAAAGTGCTGTGGCTGAATTGCACACTTTAAGTAGACGCCGTTACATTTAACATTCATCCATCAGGGTTCACACAGTAACCTGATTGCCCTTGCCTCTCTGGGCGAGATCTCACATTTGAGATAGGACAACATGCGCGTGTGTCTTGGCGAAAGAGTGTGTAATGAGGAGTTGAGGTGCGGGGAGGGGATTCAGGACATGGTCTCATCCCAGTAAAAGGTTCCTTACTACCGAAATAAGGTCACCTTCAGAAGCATGAACACTTCACAACCTTATAAAATGTTACTGCCGGTATGTGA